GAAGGGATAATCATTATCAAGTTATGTATATGGAGTTTTGACCTGAATGCCAAAAACAATGAATATGTTCATTACCATGGGATAAGATATACTATTATGATTTTCATATTCTTATGTGTAAAGACAATATTAATACAAAAGGAAAAGAGGATTCAACAGCAAAGTCTGTGTCTCATACATGCAAATCTATATCAAAGATATAGAGACTGCAAAATGTAAATAATATAATTTTTCTGCTTAATTGGTAGCACAAAATATCAAATCATTTCAATGATATTCGTTTTCTCTGAAAGCAGAAGATTAGATAATTCAATACTAGTTTCACTAAACCTGAACTCTGACTAGTAGAACTCATGGGTTCATAGTCTCTATATTGTTTATTGAAACCAAAGAGAAAGAGAGAAAGGGCTAAGAATGTGATGGGCTGAGAACATAATAATGGTAGAAATGGACAGGATATGTTTGTTGAACTAGAAAATCAACTTTTCAAAGAACTTTTTTTCATTCACCTAAATCTGTGCTGTCTGCATTTCATTGAGTTTTTCTCATGAGATCTTCTGTCATGATTTAAAACTTTTAATTTTATTCTTAATCGGATATGCATATGTATCTATGAATGTGTGTTTGTGTATATACATGTGCATGTGTGTGTGTCATTATGAGTGCAGCACTCAAGTGTGTGTGTGTGTGTGTGTGTGCAGGTAATCATATTCCACAGCACACGTATGGTGGTAAAGTTGGTGTCAGCCTTCACCTTCTAGCGTGGCTGGGACAGACAGGAGCCTCTCTCGTTCACTTACATTGGCCACATGCTAGTGAGCCCTGGTTTCTGGTGATTCTTCTATATCAGCTTCTCATTTCTCCATCGGAATGATTGGATTTATACAGGATTAGCTTTATGTGGGTTCTGCTGACTCATACCGAGGTCTTCATGTGTACAACAAGCATGTATTTTTACATTTTTGACAGATGAATTGTATACAACAAGATTTTCTTTAAAAGTATATATTGTGGGAGAGAAACAAGCAAGTACCATCACATAGTCATTGGGAAGCCCTCTTCCTCATTGCCTTCCATGTTGGATTATGGATAATTATTTTGATCACTTTGTATTAAAAAAAATTACCGGCCTCTAATTTTTTAAAAATACTTGCAGATATTTCACTTTCTCCCCACTCTTACCCTGAATGTCTTTCTTTGGGAGACCTAACTCTGTGATTTAAGGCACAGTTCGTTAACAAGAAATCACGAGGGTCCATTAGGAACAGGAATGCAGCAGACTGCCTCTCTATTCATCCCCCGATTTGAAAGCCTTCATTACATAGCATGTTTCAGGCTGAGAACGTTCAAAATTTCTCATAGTTTCAGTGATTGCAGCTTGGCTTGGAAGTGTGACATGATAAGGAATCATTTGCAAAATGTGTATTTTCTTTGGCACTTAGACAGACGCTTCCCAGGCAGTACATCTAATTAAGAGTGAGGGGAAAGGAGTGGTCATGCTCTGTCATCATGTGTTACCATTACATGAAGGTATACCCAAACTTATTGTGACTTTTAAGATCATGCTCTCATAACAAGGCTTGTATCTGGAGCTAGAAGAAATTGCTTCTCTATTAGCCGAGGGTTTTCTTACAGGGGCATACCTTATTTGCAGATAAGGGTCCATTAGGTCCATTTTGTACAGATAACTCTTTGTGCATTGTTTAAGCGGCAAAAGGCTCGGTTGTTCTGCTTAGAAACAACCTTTGTCCATTGCTTAAGACCTTGAAAATTGATGCATTGTCTTTTGGGAGCGAAGACAGCTTTATTTAAGTTTAACTTTCTCTGTCGAGGCACAGAGATAATGAGATGCAATTCCTTCCGTGAGCATAACCATGTCCATAACTTCCAGTCATCCCTGATGCAGAGAGCAAATTTGATAAGAGCAGTTCAAATATTGAAGCAATTAATGTTGATTTTTCTCTTAAGTTGCAAAGCAGCCCACGTCAGCAGTAAAGGCGTGGGAGGAGAACCATTTCTGAGGCCAGCTTTTCCTCGCGTCACATGGACTGGTATTTTTAAGTTTTTCCTGTTTCATTTTAGAGAAAATTTTCTCTTTTGATGGTTTTGAGAGCCACTATGAAGGAGGGAAGATGAAAAGGCTTTTGGGGTGTGTACACAGGGGACACACATTGTGGTGTGCAGCTCACAGGTGCAGAAGTCTTAGGTTGCTTATCAGAGCATGAAGCCACTGTGGTCTTTAATCACTGGATAGAACCATGCTTCTGTATTAATTTGTTTCTTATTTCTGTGATGAAGACCATAATCAAGGAGCCTGAAGAGAAAAGAGACTTTTGGCTTCCACTTCCCGATCACAGTCCATCATTGTAGGAAGCCAAGGCAGGAACACATAGACCATGGAGGAAGGCGACTTGCTGACTTGCTCCTGTAGCTTGCTCTGTTTGCTTTCTTATAAGAGCCAACATCGTGTGCCTAGGGATGATGCCGCCTATGGAGGACAGGACTCTTATCAATCATTACCAAAGAATGTGCTTTGAGACTTGCTTACAGGCCAATTTGAGAAAGATTTTCTCACCTGGAGTTTCTTCTTCCCAAACAAAGGGCCATGTTGACACAAAACTAGCCAGTTCATCTTCTGAGTGAGCAAATATATTTCTCCAACATCTCTGTCGTGTTTTGCACTTTTGTTTCTACTGTTACATTCAAGCTAAGGTGTAAATAAAACATAGAGAAAGATATCCTGCCCTTGTCTGTCGCCATCCTAACTTGCCTAATCAAAGCATTCCTCTTCTTGCCCTTCCTATCTTTCTATTAACTCTCACATTGCTCATTACCCCTTCCCCACTTTTCTAGAGCATCAAAGAATAATCAACCTTGTGAATCACACCTTGGGGGCTCATTGTCTTCTAGGGACAGGGATCAGAATCCAAACTCTGTGTCTTGGTGCTCAGCAGGGTTGGGAAGTGAATGGGGAGTGATAGTGGATATTACAGCTACCTCTGCTCAGGTTGTCTTTCCTCTGTTTGTTTTTTCAGATAATAAGAAAGAGAAAGGCATCTCTCTTTCAAATCCCAGTTTAGGTGTACACACCTCCTGTGGCCAGTGAAATGGTAGAAATTTGGTGGTACCTAATTTACGTTACAGTAATATGTATAGACAAATATCTGCTTTCCTCCACCTCCTCCTGGATTAAGCTCATCACTTACCAAAGAAAGAAATGGAATCCTGTAGAAATCATTATTCTTATCTAATTACCCTCTGAGATCACGGCAGCGTTCTTATTTTTATACAGCGTTATCATGAGCCAAAGTTGTCTTAAAGTTGTAACACATTTTATTTTGCAATTCATATTTTACTTTATGACTAGGGCATGTTGAAGAAATAAACTTAGGTAATCCTTAGAAAGTCAATATGTGTTGAATGCTACCCCTATCCCTGAAGGCAAGGAAACAGAGATTGGTTCTAGTCAGTAGGGAGCAGGGATTTTGTTGTTGTTTTATCTTTTGCTACTTTGTTTTGTTTTGGAAACAGTCCAAATTATGTGAATGCAGGTTTGTACTCAAAAACTGGTATACTACTGCATTTGTTTTGTTTTGTTTTGTTTCACCCCAGGAGAAGAAATCTATGTAAAAACATAAAAGTAGATTTAGAGAAAAATGAGAGGAAATAGAAAATCATATGGGCATGAATGAACAAACAGTGTTCTCAAGACTCACTCACTTCCTAGGATGCTCTGAGCTTGGAACCATAGGCTCCTTACCTATCTCACATCTTTCTTTCTATATGCCCAGATTATAACTTGAAAGTGATAGAAATCATGAGTGGACAGCGGTGAGCAAAAGACGGGAAGCCTTACAGAGGCTGCCAGCCCACTACACTGCAGCTGGTGTCTTCTCTTCCTGATGAAGATGGGCACACAGCGTGGCCTTTGTGCAACAATTGATTTTATAATATAGCTCTGTTGAAAACGAGAAAGGATGGATTATCGTTTGAGCACACCTTTTGATTTTATAATACACCTTTATTGAAAACAAGAAAGGATGGATTATCGTTTGAGAGAAACAGAGAGCACACCTTTTCAGAATTCCTGATGAATTGTTCCCACACTGAAAACTCATTTTGGTCTGGGAAAAGAAAATCATCGGATTCACTGCAGCAGAACTGACAATGTTCTCCTTTGAAGAACTAGCGGAGCAAGTGAACTCACTTAGGTCAGACTCGGGGTGTCTATTCTTTAAAGCGCGTTAGCACACAGTGGGGTCTACAAAGAGAAAAAATAATTTATACTGCAATGCTGAAGTCCTACATTACACATTTCTTAAGTCAGATCTATATTTGAATTAATGATAGAGAAGAGATTATGTGATAAAAACCAAAATGAAATAGCTGAAAAATGTACAAGATGGATTAAAAGAGAAAAATCGTGAGTAGCCTGGCTTCTCACAATGCAAGGTTGAATGTATATCCTCTGTATAAATGATCTTTGCATTAGATATTTGGGTCCACCAAGGTATCACTAAACTGAGCCTTATTATAATAAAACAAGGCACAATAGCTCAATGCTATTCATCTTTTTTGTATTATTATATTAATTTAATACCATAGACTTTAATTTTAGGTTCAAGAATAAAATTAAGTAAGCTTTAGGCTTAACCAATAGCAAAACACGTAAGTATAATTGCTACTGCTTTGGTTTGTAAATCTTTTACTTCTGTGAGCGTAAATGTCCGTTGCATTTTTGTAGAGCACCCAAGTTCAGTCCCCAGATCTTAGAGTGGCTAACAATAGAATATATAATGCCAGACTCCAGATCCAGGGGAACCAATCAATGCCCTCTTTTGGTCTCTGCAGACCCCAACACACACACACACACACACACACACACATCTTAAATGTGAAAATAAAAATAAACTGTGTATCGGTTGACATGTATACATTAATTCTGTTATATCTATTTATATATGAACCACCAAAAACTAATATGCATTATTTATTTTCAGGGGAAAAGGACCACTGAAGCATACCACTGACGTCATCTATGCAGCTAAAATGATATCAGAGTCTGGGTCAAGGATGGATGTCCTCGCTCGGCAGATTGCTAACCAGGTGAGCTACTTACAAACAGGCAAGAGGAAAGAGGTTGCTATTGGCTCTCTTCTGCTGGATCATCAACTAGAGTAAATCTGAGTGGCTTTTTTTTTTTTTAACTTATTGACTATGTTTGCTTTCTATATCAGAGTTTTAAAAATTTATAACATTGTAATTATGCAACTTGGAGACAATAAATTCTAAGAAATTGTAACTAGCTTTACAGAAGACATATATTTATTTAGCTTTAAAGATTCTCTATTTTAAAAATCAGCTGTATCAGATTGAAATTAATTAAATACTCTTAATTGGCTGGAGTAGCACAACAGGTATTACTCTTTTCCTTGATGTCGTCGATGAGTTCACAGTTTTTCTCCAAAATGGTAGGTTTTTGAGGTCAGCACTTCACAGAATTATTAGAACAATAAAGCAAAGTTGTCAGTTGTAAGAGGTATGTAGCCCTTGGGCAAACTGGTTCTTCTCCACACCTTTGTTCTTTTCCTTGAGCTTCTCATAGCTTGAAAAGCATTTCTAAGCAGTACATATATTATAAAGTTGTCTGTACTATGAAAAATTAATATTTCAGACACGGTATAATATAAAAACATTTATGTTATATTTGTCATTATATTTAACTTCATAATAATCATTTCTTTTGAGGATAATCACTTCATTGATTTTGCACACACACAGACATACACACAAATACATATTTTAGACTTTAAATAATTAAAACCATACGGAGAACACAATCGGTAGAATAATGGAAGCTAGTCAGTTTCTAGTGCTCGTAAATATTGTGAAAGGTTTTTCTGGTGGTATTGGTTACTATTTTATTCAATATAGAATTTTAAAATTTTGACAACTTTTATGATACTTCCTAGTCTGTTATTTTTATTTTCTAATGGACCATCAAAATGTCAATTAGCAATTTTTAATTATGCATTATATAAACTTAAAATTGAATCTGTAATTGTTATATTAAATCATAATATACACATAGTCTTAGATGAATTTAGTTTCTTTCTGTTTGGTACAATATTTATCTGTACAGAGAATGGTCGGAAATCAATGTAATTGAAGCCTCTAAATCTTCATGCCTGGCAATTTTATTCACCTTTTCCATTCTTATTTTTTTTCTCTGAATACAGAATTGTTACAGATATATTAGACACAATTCATAAATTGTTGTTACCTAGTTAAGAACTTAAAACCTCATTAGCTAGTTTCCAATTGTAAATATCTAATAGTAATTTATTAAATTATTAGATTTATTAGGTTATTTAATAGTAAGTTATGAATTTTAGATTAATAATTTGAACATTTGTCCAAATATCGTTATACATCTCATTTAAAATTTTAAAATTCAAAAAAAATTATTTTTATATATCATATGATATAGGACCTCCTACTTATGCCCTTACTTAACCTTACTTACCTCCATCACGCAACATTTCTTGAACTTTAAAATGAAGTTGAGATGTTGTGGTATCTTTACCCTGCCTTTCAGCACAGCACAACTCTGGTACCAATACTGCATGCATCACATAGTATATTTCCAAAAGGGAGGATATTTTTGGCCACTACAATTCTTGAGCAATTTGAAGAAGACTAATAGTATAGCAATCTGGGGAATAGTGACACAAGGCCAGGCTTCCTGAACCTAGGTGCATATGTTTTTAATTCCTATAAACGATGCAGATACCGTAAATTAGATGATACAATCAACACTTTATAAGGCAGGGAAATACAGAACTTGTGTAGGTGCTGATGCAATGTACCCTCAAGTAGGAAGGAAAGAATAGAAACACAAGTGATATATACAAAATATGGAGAGACCTGGTAATGTGTCCATTATCTGCCTGACACTTTCTTGTAACTGTCAAAACAAATATGTCTAGGTTGTTGAGTGACTACTCCTACTCGATCATGGCTACAATTAAAATCAATCATAGTGTTAAAAATATTGGCAATGATAATTCAAGAAGGACAGCACTATAAAACCATATATATATATATGTGTGTGTGTGTGTGTGTGTGTGTGTGTGTGTGTGTGTGTGTGTTTGAAATCATGAGCAATTCATTTAACTAGATCAGAATAATCTACAAGTGTGATTTATATAGTTATTTACCAGTTATTGTTGGTGGATTTCCTTATTTTTGATTATTCTATATTGATGGTATGAACTAAGGATTTCATTATAATAAACTACACTGGAAATTAAATTCTAGAACCTTCATTAAATCATAATTACATACCCCTTACAAATGAAATTCCCAGATGTATCCCGTGACAGTATGTGTGCTTTGATGCTGTTTTCTTTCTGAAATTTATGGGAAGTGCAGATGTTGATGCTGAGTTCTGTACTCGAGATTAATGAGCTCTCGCTTTATGAAAGTAAATGCCTAAGGGTGTAGCTTTAGGAGCGGCGGGGCTGCATCCCGGGCACCCAGCCGCCCGCATGGCTAGGTTATGCCCCGAAATAATTATACGGAAACTGTATTTTTTTAAACACTGCCTGGCCCATAAGTTCCAGTTTCTTATTGGCTAGCTCTTACATATCGATCTAACCCATTTCTAATATTCTGTGTAGCCCACGAGGTGGCTTACCAGGGAGGATCTTAACCTGCATCTGTCTGGAGTGGAGAACCATGGTGACTCCTCGACTCAGCTTCTTTTTCCCAGCATTCTCTTCTGTTTACTACACTCACCTATGTTCTAACCAATAAAATGGGCCAAGGCAGTTTCTTTATTATCATTAACCAATGTCCTTCCTCCATCATTTCCCCTTTTTCTGTTTAAACAAAAAAGAAAGGCTTTAACTTTAACATAGCAAAATTACATATAACAAAACAGTTATCAAGCAAGAATTAGTTACAATATTTATATCTACTTTATCATCTATTATAACTAAGGAAACCTATAACTATCTATTCATTCTTCAACTCCATCAAAGACTCCAGAAGGATATAATA